CCCCCCGCCGAGGGTAAGCCTCCAGAGAAGAACAAAAAAGCCTTTCCCCGACACAGAATAACTTTTTTTTTCATTTTCTTCGATATTTCCCCCAAATGTTTCCTGTGAAAAGTTTAATTGAGCTGGTTTGCTCCGGCTCGAGCTCTTATCGAACCGATCTGAATCGAGGTTATTCAATCGGGTTTCGCGTGGCACACTATGTAATTTCCAAAAAAAAATAAAAACTTTTTTCATTACTTCCCCCCAGGATTCGAATGCTACACTTGCACGATCCATTCAACATAAAGCTAGACGAGGATTGGGATGATGGAGATCGGAAGGAGGAAGTACGCAAGTACAATGAAAAAGCTATGGCGTCCGGGGACTGCTTAGAATTCAGCGAAAATACCCAAGATAACCCCAAGAGAAGAGTTAAATGTCCAGACTATTGGGAAAGTATGTGCCTTTTTCTACTCGGTCGTGTGGCAACAGTGCCCCCGCGGAAGCGTGGGAACAGAGGGACAAATTGTCCCGGACAATGGTTATTCGATGTCCCCATCATCTGTCCATGATATATAAACCCCTATCCTACAATATTAATGTTCCCAGATGTCCCCACGGCTTCCGGGGGAATTGGTCGCTAAATAGAGGTCAACGCCTACGATTTATGCGGTGGCGTGAAAATGTCAAATATTTTAGATTGTGCCTACATTAATAACTAAACGTATTTACATACATACATGAAATTGGCAAGATTTGAAACATGTTAATAATCGGAAAAATGCCGTATTTCTTATCAATTTCTAATTTTTAGAAATTTCAAATATTTAAAAATTCCAAATTTTACACCGATTTAAATAATATGTAAAGTCGGCGGAAGAATATTTGCCTCGACTGAATTTTCGCGGACGCGCCTGCACCGTGCGGCGTACAATCGGCAGCGTTGACCTCTAAAATACTCTCCTCTCAAAGCCAACGAAACCATGAAAATTCAAAATTCTGAAATTTTGTTTCCATTTTTTCTTATCAGTTCCGCGTTGTTACGTTGACCGGGAAAGAGGCAGAGGGTGCTCAAGGTATGCCGATTGGCCAGCCAATTCCTGCACGGAAGAGAAGTGCACGTGCGACACGGAACTTTGCAATGGACCCGAACTTCGACCGAACCGCAGAGAAAAAGGTCACCCACCCAAAATTAAATGAGAACAATTCGTAATTTGCATCGTTTCCTGTTTCGTACTAATTTAGTAAATAAGTAATTTCCAAAATAAATCCTATCACTTTCCAACAAAAGTTTTGCGAAACGTTACAAATTTCGGAACCCATGACAAATTAATTTGCGAGTACTGCAAAAAAATTAAAAACTTTCGCTGAATATGATTAATTTGAATGGCTATATTTTGGCAGGACTGAAATGTAAAGTTTGCCGGGGTAGCGTTCCAATTCCCGCCGCCGCGACTGGGAGGTGGACAACGGGTGACGAATATTACAGGACACTAATTAAATCCGAGAACTGCAGCGGTTTCGATGATCATCATGATAAGTGATGCGAGATGTCCGGTCGAGTGGGAAATTAAAATTTTCTAAAATTTTTTGATAATTTGTTGCTTGATTGGGGCGCAAACCATGTTCAACCCAGATTATTTTTCGATCATGTTAGTTCGAAACAGAACCTCTTTAGAGACAACATTTTGCGAAAAAGATGCGGAAAATGAAAGTTTTGTGCGCCTGAAGCGAAACCGAAACCCTTAAGGTTAATACTGGCGTCGGCGCGTAAATCTCACTCTACCCCAATGCGTTTTCCACTTTTTTTGCAATAAATTTCCTCCAAATGAATTCGCTATTTTTTCAAATCGATTTGTTTAAAGTACCAAAAATTAGCTATCAAAAGTTCCATTTATCTCAAAACTCATGGAATTGATTCAATGTTAGAAATTGCATTTAAACACATTGAACAAGGGTTGAGTGGAGTGGAGTCAGACTAAAAACGAAAATCTTAACTTCTCCCGCAAGTCACAAATTCTTGTGGAAAACCTGCCATTTTGCAAACTTACGGCGCCCAAAACTTTTCGCATCTTCGCATGACCGGGAAAAAGCCAGAGGGTGTACGAATGATTTGGATAAGCGCGATTGGCCACAACCCTACAATTATTGCAGCGATCAGTCGTGCACGTGCGACACCGCGGACCTTTGCAATGGACCCGAACTTCGACCGAAACGCAGACGGAAAGATCGAGGTAACGTATATACCCATACCTGTTCAATTTTTTTTTATTCATTCAAAAGTCAGTCATCACAATTTCTGAGTGAAGATGTTCATTCATATTCAGTCATTTTCATTTCACTTCATTACTTCATTAGACTTCATTTGTCAATTTTGTCATTCTAAATCAGTTTTCCGGATTTCTGAGTGAAGATTTTCAAATCAGTCATTCATTTCCATTTCATTTCTCTTCTTCAGACTTCATTTGTCAAATTTTGTTTTTCATTCAAAAGTCAGTCATCCCTATTTCAGACTGAAGATTCACACACATTCATTTTCTTTCAAACTCATTTCATTTCACTTCACTTCACTTCATCCGACTTCATTTCTTACCCCGCCCCATATATTAATCCTAAGTAATGACTTAATGAAGTGAATATGAATGAGCGATAACTCGTAAAATTTAAATGACTATTCTGTATTTTGACAGCACTGACGTGCAACGTTTGCTGGGGTAAGGTTGAACTTCCCGGCGCGACTGGGAGGTGGGCATCGGTTCCCGATTATCGCCAGAAATTGATGGCTTCCGAAGACTGCAGCAAATTCAATGAAAAAGAACAACGTCGTTGGAAATGGCAAGCACAATGTCCGGACGACTGGAAAAGTAAGATTTCAAATTTTTTGGTAATTTTTTCAAAATTGGGGAGGGATTTTACGTCAAGTTTGTAACTGCGTTAGGTTTGTAAGTTTTCACACGTTTCTTGACGTGAATTGAGGTTGTGAACATTTTCGTAAACATTTTTGCTAAAAAAGTAAATATGCCATCGATCGAGGTGAACCTGATTTCAGCTGAAAATGTAAATATGAATTACTCGAATTATTTACGAAATTTTATTTAGGAACCAACAACACGCTTCTGAAGTGCGTAATTCGTAAGTCGATTTTTAAATTTAGAAATGCGTGTAAAACTTCTTGAAACTTACAACAACCTTTGACGTGAGTCCTCTCACGATGGAACCTTTTATTCAAACTACATCGGGATTTTCTAGCGAGTTATGTTAAAAAATCAAGCAAAAAATTAGGAATCATATGACACTATCTTCCAGTTGAATGGTGCCTTTCAAGAAAAATATTGGCCGCAAAGTTCAATTTTCAAGTTAATTATATCTCGGTTTTTCCTCCACGGGGCGAAAAATAAATCGAATGAGGTACTTTACCCCCCAATATTTTGCGTTAAAGGGGCCCTTCAGCGGAAACATCAGTGCCACAAGATTTATAATTTTTTACTCGATTTTTTGATATAACTCGCTAGAAAATCCCGGCGTAGCTTTGAAAAGAAGTTCCATAAATAAGAAACGTGGGTTTGATTTCTGATTTATTTATGGGAAACGCAAAGAAGAAAAAAATTCTCACCGCCCGTAAAAAAAAGGCTCTAAAATTTCCGGAGACGTTCAAAATTTCCAAAAAATGTTCTAAAATTTATTTATTTCATTTAGACCCGTATTGCTACATCCACAAGAGATACGGTGGCGGATGCGATGATAAAAACAGCTCATCCTTCGTTTTGGAAGACTTGCCAGACTTTGTCGGTCAATGTAACGATGTCGGATGCAAATGCGATGACGCCGATTTGTGCAATGCTCCCCTCCTTCTGGGGGAACGAATGGTGCAAAAAAACAACGGGAACGATGTACACGGTTTGATCACACAAATTAATTTTGCACAATTTAAAGCTTGGTATCTATTGAGACGATCGTATTGGGCTAAATTTCGATGAATTATAAAACGATGAAGCCCACGAACGATTTTTCTGATTTTTTTATAGGATATCAAACAACTATCAAACTACCATGCCCACAAATGGAGAAACAAATATTCTCCTGGGCTATGTTTAACACGTATTTAGATAGGCCAAAAACAAAAACGAAAATTAAAATATGAAGACCACGAACGATTTTTAAAATATTTGCATATGTTGATGGTCATACTATTGGTGATTTTTCATCAAAAAATTGAAGATGGTACATTTCTAGGTTTCGAGCTATTAATTCAAATGCATCAAAAAACATGGAATGAAATGGAAACCATGCAAAATTACCACAGGTATTAATAAAATGGTAACCATGTTGCGCGTTGCTACAATTTTGCATACCATTTCCAATGTTTATAAACCAAAGTCCGACAAGAAAAAAACATTGATTACATTCATCGGTTGGAAGTGACTCAAACAGGCCCCTTGGAGTTATAGTAGACATGCTGAATAATTGTTTGATAGTATAATTTGCCAACTCGCCAAGTTTGCAGTTAATCGGGGTTCATTTGACATAGTTGTAAATGAACAGACATACGAACAGACAGACTGGCAAAACGGTTCCCCAAGTCTTAAATCGGGGTAGGAATCATTGAGCGCTATTTACTAATCAAAAACCACTGACAACCAACCGAATTTCGATAAGATATATTAGCCCAAAAAATCGCCTTAATTTCTTATCAAAATAATTCAAAACTCATCGAAATTTAGCCCAAAACGATCACCATAACAGATACCCTTCTTTGCATAATTTAAATTTTGCACTCTTTTCCTAAAAAAAGCATATCGTGTCCATTTCCAGGTTTATTTTCCACGCTGGGCGTCACTTTCCTGGTGCGAGGCTGCTTTGGGGGGCTGAATTAAATCATTGATCAAGGAAAAATATGTCTCGGAATTAAAACGATTTATGATTTTTTTACGAAGCGAAGGCAAGATTTAAATTGTGTAAAATTTTGTAAAATTTGTGAGTGATTGTTGCAAATACTATTAGTAAATTGCAAATTGATTATGTATCTTTAAAATTCTTTCATTGTCCGCCCATTTATTTGTAAGATCTTGTCCGCATAATTAATTTTGTTTAATCAACACATATCTATTTAATACGATCTGAAAATTCTCCTCTTATTTAATAAATTTAATAATAATAGATAGCAATTTTGTTAATAATTTATTTAAATTTAGCCTTGATAAGGACTTATTATACTGCTTAATTATCTACTGTTTTTTATGCTTGCGAACAGTTTTCGCGGAAAATTTTGTCTTTGTCGCGGTAGATCCGCAGCAGCAGCGTAGAATCCATCGCAAGATGGCGTAGAGTACGTAAAGCGTTCCTATAATGATGGCCAAATAGGCAGCAATCACGTCGAGGGAGTGGTACTGAATTGAAGACAGATTTCGCGCTGGTGACCGCAAATGTGGCGCGCCTGAAAATAATTTATGAAAATATTGAAGCAATTCACGCAGTCCTTTGTAACCTTGTAAAATCGGTAAACTTATAAAACTTTGGATAATTTTTATTTAACCAAGACGATGATCCATATCTGGATTAAAATTCTAGTAGCAAATGGCAAAAGAAATGTATATTGGTGTGTAAATACAACATATAAAGTGATTTTTATTAAAATTTGGCAAAAATGTCAGGTTATATATTGAAACTTACACAGTCTTGGTACCTTGTAAAATCGGTAAATTTACAAAAATTTAGATACCTTAACGACAAAGCTGATCCTCATCTGGATATTAAAATTCCGGTAGCAAATGGCAAAAAAACGTATATTGGCGTTTAAACACAATAATTTTTTTAATTTGGCCAAGTTCTCCAAAAAAATCTGGCGTTATTGAGACAATTCACGCAGTCATTGGTAACTTTGTAAAATAATTTTCCAACTTTACAAAATAGAAAGACGCCCTTGACTTTATTAAGTTAACAAAAATTTGGGAGCTAATTTTATTCCGAAATATTTGGCAAAATTTGTAAGTTTACGGATTTTACAATGTTACCCAGGCCTGTGTGAAGTGTCTCATGGAAATTTATGAGATCGTAAACTCTGTACGTTTTTACAAAAAAATTGATGAAAATTTTCTAACCTTTGTGTCGCATGACGTACTCCAACCAAAACACGCCCCTGTCTAACGGATTGTCGATCTGGTCACGGAAAACGGTTGATAAACGTTGCACGTTTTCACGATATCTGAAAATAATTAGGAGCATTTGAATTAATTTGAAAGGTCACAAAGTTTAAATTATTCCTTATGTAAATTAGGTCAAAGTCAAGATTAAAATTTAAAAAACCTAGCAATTACTTAACTCGCATGTTTGTAAAGTGGGTGATACATTTGTGTAAACAATTTTTTACAAGTTTTCCAAGATTGGATAGCCAAAATTTGGGTGAATATCTATATAGAGGGGTCGCCCCGGGAAGTGGTGGTCAGTTTGTAATTAGTAGCAGGGTAGTAAACAATGGTTTCAGTGATCTTATTTTTTCGTATAATATTGCAAATATATTCAACCACGTACCCTCAAAATTTCATAACCTTCGCAACTTCAAAGCGATTGGGGGAGACTGCACCTTTAGTGCTTGCGCAGCTGACGGTCCTGTCCAACAATGGCATGATCGTCACCCCACCAATACATACATACAACTTCAAAGCGAGGAAGTCGGGAAACGATTTTTTTGTAAGTACCAAAATTCGAGTTACAAAGACTTCAAGAAGTCTTTACCACATTTTAAAGGAGAAGGGTGTGGCCGTGCAAAAATTTAGACTTACATAAAAAAGTATGGAGAATCCGAAAATGTCAACCTGAGAAAACGCACCATGAGAAAAAACCATCTAAATCAACACTTGAAAGTAAAAAACGATTGAATTTATTTTCTGAAAATGTAGCTCCACGTCCATGGCCGATGCGGCCAAAAGGTCAAAGATAAATACAGACTACTTTCATCGTGTTAAGGCCCACAAGTTATGGGTCAAAGCGTATGCAAAAAAATCTGCATCAAAACATACAGAAGGTCGAGAAAAAATGGTAAACGCAAGATGTCCCACGCTTTGAAACCAAATTTTACCAAAAAAAATGGTCACAGACGACGAGTCCTATGTCCTTAAAGATGTGACAGAAACTCCGGGAATGCAATTTTTTTCTGGGAAATATATCTCTGAAGTGTTAACCAAAGAGAAAGTAAAATGTTAAAAATTTCTCACGAAATTTCCGATTTGGCTGGCGTCAAAATGCATGGTGATCAAATGACAGTTTGATTTTGAAAAATGAAAACCCCCCAAATGTCCCTTATCTTCGTCCCATTGAAATATTTTGGACTTTATATAAGAAGTAATACTCCCTGCTTTGTGAAACAGTCGATATTTTAAGAAAATTTCGGTTCGGGTAGGAAAAAATTAACAATGAATTTGCAAAGTCTTCCGGAAAAGTATTATTGGCGGACGCGACTAAAAAGATTAAATACGAAGTAGATAATGGATTAAAGTCTCTTTTGCTTGCGGATATATTACGTCAGATGTATTTAACATATTATCCCAAAATTTGAGACTTCTAGAATCATTCTTTGGCCAGTTTTATGGACAAATTTCACACCACCACTTCCCGGGGCGACCCCTCTAAAATTCACTTTCGCATAACTCACCCAGATCTTTGTAACGTTGTAAACTTTACAAAGGCTTGGACTTACAAAGTTTACAAGTTTTATCATTGTCACTGTTAGCTGACATTGCTTGATTTTTTTAAAGTCAACTTGTTTTTTAATTTTGAAAAATTTTGAAATTTTACGAAGCTTCAATCCTTGCATTATTTTTGTCTTTGTGTGAAATCCACATGCACAGATAATCTATTCAGCTCTCACAATTAATGTTGAAGATTATCAAAAATTAAAACGGTGTCTAATTGTACCATTTTTCAAAAATTATTCCGCAAAATACTCCCAAAATATTTCCAAGCTTAAGTTTCGTAAAATAATTTAATCTAATTTTCTTTCCTACGTTTCCTTCCATTTTTAACCGTTCACCCCTTAACGGCTTACTTATTTGTGAAATTCTAAAATAGCGAAGAAATTTACTCAGATATTTGTAAACTCGTAAAGTTTTCGAAAGATTACGAATACAAATTTATTTTAACCTTACCCATTATCCGTCTTTTTCCTGGATAAACGTGTTTAAACTAATTTTACAAAATTTATACATATTCATTAAATCCTAGACTAAAGCTCAAAAACCTATTGAACTGTTTAACATTTAAAAAATTCTGGAAATTTTTTTTAATGGTGTCAAATAACACCATTTTTCCAAGCAAGAAAGTATTTTTTGCAGATACAGATATTTTGACCTGCAAGAAATTCAATAAACTGCGCCCCACCGCTGTGGGGCGCAATTCAATAAACTCCGCCCACTTCATGCAGCACGTGATAAGATGGCGCATGTTTCTTGTACCTTGCTTTTCTTGCGTTTCTTGCCTTGCAGGGCAAAGAATTTTAGTAATTCCGCAATAAATCGAACGCTGCTATTAGTGTCGAAATTGAAAATGAAATTTCAAATCACTCGATGCATCGACAAGCTGAGCGACTCCAAGCAGAGCGGAATAATATTTACGGGATTAAAATAAATGCAATGAATTTGTGACAATTTAGATTAAATTGAATCGGGTGGCAGGTTTAAAATTGCATGATTTAAACATCGTAATAATTAGTTTTTAAAAGTATTAAATCAGGTAACCATAAAATAGATATCCAGTACGCTTTTTACCAGAGCAAAGTAAATGTAAGGAATTTTGCACATTTTGCACATTTAGGAGAGTTAGGACAGCTATGATATTTTGGGCGTTAGAATATTTTAGGTATTTGCATATTTTGGGCATTAGGATATCTTATGCATTTTGCGCAATAAAAGCAATTTTTTTTACATTGTTTACATTTTGTTCATGCAATGCAATATGGTCACGGCATCATTCACTTAACACAAATTAAACTCCCATTAAAATCGTCTCACTTTGGATTATTGATGGCTTCATTGATCGCGTTGGTGAGGCTTTCTTCCGTCAAATCGTTCCAGTCGAGCCTGACGAGGTAGCCGTGCTTCTCGGCGGCCTGCGCGTTGAGGGGCTGGTCTCCGAAGAAGGGCATCCCCAGGAGGGGCACCCCGTGGAAGATGGCCTCCTCCGTCCCCCCACCCCCGCAGTGCGTCATGAACAGTCGGATCTTCCCGTGCCCGAGGAGGTCCTGCTGGGGCAACCATTTGCTCAGAAGCACGTTCTTTGGCAGGTTCGGAATATCGTCCGTTTCATACTTCCAAATCACTTTCTGCTTCAAACGGCTAAACACGTTGAGGAAAATGGCTCGTTTTTCGGGGGACATTAAATCCGAGCGGAGGTAAGTTCCCAGGGAGAAGAGGATGAAACCCGCGTCACTGTTTCCAGAGGAAATGAAGTCTTCCAAATCCTAATTATTTAATTAGAGAAGAATTAAGGGATAATTTAACTTGAAATAAGCATTCTAGATACATATATTATTCATCAAAATTGTACATTTCTTAAATTATAATAAATAATTTTCAAAAATTTTATTCGTAAAGATATGCAATTTTTGATAAAAGAACATAAAAAAATGGTTCTACAAGATTTCAAAATCTTCTCGACACTTTATTATTTCAAACTATTAAGATATGAATATGACTTTGGCATGAATAATGTAATTAAGAAATTTTTAAACTTTTATATGAAAAATTACGGAAATAGGTATTAATTTTTCGAGTTTTATTTGATGAAATATTATCAAATATTTTAAAGCTAAACTTTCAAAATAATCCTTAAAAATTTGTAGAAATATTTGGATTTTTACGGATTTTATGTGAATTGAGTAAGTGTAACGGCAATAATTTAATTATTGTAAAAAACATATATTTTTCATAGTGACAAGATTTATGGTAGCTCGCCTGGTATTATAAATACATGTTAAACCCATATCTAAAATTAGGAGTGAGGAATTGGATGAGACTCACTGTAAACTGTAGAATCCGGATTTAAGGGCCAATGGTCAACGTTTCGAACCTTCGTTCTTCTTCAGGACAGGAGGGAGAAATTTTTAGTGACTGCTCACGGGAAGAACCAATGTGAGTGTGAAGGAATGGGGATAGGAAGGATTGAAAGGAAGACTGCTACGCCCACGTGGTCTGGCAGTCTTCCTTTCAATCCTTCCTATCCCCATTCCTTCACACTCACATTGGTTCTTCCCGTGAGCAGTCACTAAAAATTTCTCCCTCCGGTCCTGAAGAAGAACGAAGGTTCGAAACGTTGACCATTGGCCCTTAAATCCGGATTCTACAGTTTACAGTGAGTCTCATCCAATTCCTCACTCCTAATTATCCTCACTCGCACATTTTACCAATTATCCATATCTAAAATTACCCTGGTCATGATTTTTTTTTCCTTAGGAAATATAAAAAACCTATCAGTACAGCTTTGCTTAGCCCGAACCAGGAACGTTTAGTAAGCCCATGTTTGTCAGAATTTTCTATAAAAAAAGATCCGAAATTCAACCCTCCTAAATTCTAAATTAGAATTTCTAATCCTAAGTTATTTTTCGCCTCCATCCTAAATTTCTGCTGAATATATAAACTCATAGAAATCGGTATGGGTCACCGCTTAGTGCCCCTCAGGTTACTTTTTGTTTATATTTTACTTCAAATTATTTCATGAGAAGTCATTAAGTATCACTGTGCCGAATTTCAGCTTCTTACGGTAATTTCTTAAAATCGGTATGGATCATCCTAACGGGTCCCGGAATATGAAAATTTTACCAATTTCATGCCATATTCTTGCATTAGGACCCATAAGCAACCTCTCCACCAAATTTCAGCTTGATTGGATGATTTTGAAAAATCGGTATGGGTCACCCCCTCGGGTACCTCCGGTTGAAAAATTTTCTAATTTCACTTCATATTCTTTCATTAGGAGTCATTAGCAACCTATATACAAAATTTCATGTTTCTACGACAATTTTGAAATTTTGGTGCATAATACCCCACCCACTCTGATGACCCCCATCGGCCCAAAACTTTTCTGATCGAACCCATCTTCGAACTCGGTCGTTGCATTGCCCAGATACATGTCTGTACCAAATTTGGTAAAAATCGGTCAACTCGTTCGAGAGTTATCGAAAGACAGACGGACAGACGGACAGACGGACAGACGGACATGACAATTACATAAGCCCTGGTTCGGGCTAAAAATACATTTTTGTCCCAATTTCCGAAAATATGACGTGTCATTTGCCACAAAAATCCATAATATTTCACGACCAGGTCTTTGTCCTTATTTTTCAAAATCAACTGATTGATTGAGTTTGATTACAAAAAATGTGTATGCTAATTTTCCTCCGAAATATTTTGTAAAATTTTGTAAAAGTTCGAAAGATTAATTAAAGAATTTACGGATTTTACAAAGTTACCAAGGCCTGTGTGAATTACCTGAATACGTCTTTGCAAATTCGTACCGGATTTTTAACTCCTATAAAATTTCCGAAATTTTACCTTCGGTAAAAAATTGTGAAATTTATGAAAGTTTAAAAAATCAAAACGGGCCAAATCAAATTTTATCTTTGGCAGTGGTTTTTGGCAGTGATTTTACAGTAGTTACCAAAGCCTGCGTATGTAAATTGTCTCCATCTAATTTTTAGCTTGCACCGAATTTTCAAAATTTTGAATTTTGCTTCTTTAAAAAAATGAATAGAAAACGGAAAAAATTGCTGGTTTACCTTCGGCAGTGGTTTCGCCTTCCTCGAATGAATCCCACCCACATCCACGACATCCGGAAGATTCGGTTTCGGCCGACTCACCGAAAAATGCCCGTTCGACAAAATCATCGACGCTCTCCCCAAAATTTCCCCCGCTCCGGGCGCATCACTCCCGACCTTCTCCCTGTACAGCTCCTCCATCACGGGCAGATAGTAAAATGAATAAAGCCCGTCGAACAGCACGTTCATCCCAAAGTTCAAAAACCTCTCGGAAAACGTCATATCGTCTCCGAGGTTGATAAACGTGTTCGAAACGAACGAGCTGGGGTGATTCCCGCCAAGTTTTTCGACCAAAAAATTCGGCGCGCTGGTCGGCGAGAACAGGACAAGCGGTGTCTTTGATTTCCCATTTTTCGACATGATTTTGTGCACAAGTCCGAGCGCGCAGTCGTTAAAGAGCGGTTGGATTAGGATCAAGTCGAAATCGGTGGCGTATAAGGCTTTAACGTCGGCGCGGTCGTACACTTCTCGGCAATATTTCGGCACAACTTGGGTCAACATGGTCCACGGGTTGATTTCTTCGTTTCGCTCGCGCATCGCGAATAAATCGATGTTGTTGTCGGACCAGATTTCGTCGGAGCCGAAGGTGAAGATTTCGGTGATGTTGGGGTGTTTTGAGAGGCCTTTGGTGGGGCTGAGGAGTGTTACCTGGGGAAAAAGGGTGACAAAATTTGAAATGAAAGTCAAAATTTGAGATTCAAATTTTTAAGCTAGATAAAATTTACTAAGGACAATTTTTTTAATTAGCTTTGTAAAATTGTCTGAAAATAGCTTTTCCTGGTTTTTATTGAAGACAAATTAGAATTAGATACATCTTGCAAATTTTCCTTATTTGCTTTATTTACTTTTATAGCTTTTTATGCAATTCTAATGAAAAATTTTCATTGGAATTGCAAAACATTGGTTGGTGGGTGCTAAAATCGGGAATTTTTGATGACGTAATATATGGATGGCCCCAAATTGGGCACAATTTTTTATTTACTGTTTTTTTAGTATAAAATGAAGTTGGTTAAATTTACTCAATGATGAGTAAAACAGAGGATTTCGATTCACTATTGTGTAAAATTTTATCAAATTTTTATGTCATAGAAACTTCTAATTTAGATTATAATTTCAAATCTGTGCAAAGTTGACGTTAATAGTGAATTGATGTGAATGCCCTCATTGTATTAAATCAAACTTCGTCCTTATCTGAACACTACTGGGGATATTACAGATGTATAATTTTATTAAATTTGGCGTTAATATGGTACAAATTTGTTTGTAATTATTTTTACTAGGGCGATGAACATGTCTTTAGTTTTCTTTTTCTTACTAACGTGATTTAGTAAATATTATTGAATATTATTATCCATTAAATTTTCAAAATTAACCGATTACACAAAATCGGCTAATTTTGCCATTCAAAATCTATTTTTTTAATGTAAACATCTTAAAAACTGCAAAATTTTAGTTTCTTTTACAACAAATTTTATCCACTCCTCTTTCCTTCGAGCATAATCTTTAAGTCAAATGGATTTTATTCCTTGAAAAAGTTTAATCAAATTTCGTCACAATATTCGCTGGTGAAAATCCTATTTCTAACTTATGTTACTTGTAAAAATTGTGTAAACTTTTTTAATTTTTTTAAATTCTAAAATTCGCCTAAAATGGCAAATTTCACTTTATAATCTTCGTACATGTTTTCCTTTCTGTATTTGCAATTCTGTATTTACAGGAGTGAAAATTATGATGTGAATTTTTTAAAAATATACCCGACAGGCTTTGATGCCAAACTTAATATTTTCTAAAATACCTTACAGCAGTAAGCTCGAATATGTATACGCAGAATTGTTGTTGTATAATTGGTGGTATAAAATAAAATTACAATACAGATAAAATTTTGAAAGAATTTCATTTTATGGAACTTACAAAATATTTCAGTTAATTTGATAAATCTTATGGCACTGTGGTAGACAACATGTGTAATTTTGTGGCAATTTTCGTTTTTTAAGACTGCTGGGAAATTCTGACTTTAAAATAACGTCTTTATCAAATTTTAATTGTTGGAGACTTGTGGATTTTTAGTTTTACATAAATTCCATCAAATTTCGACACATTATCCGCTCGTGATAATCCCATTTCTAACTTATATTTTACTTATTGGACAAACTTACGTAAACTTTTTCCATTTTGCTATTTTCTAATTCACCTAAATTAGCAGATTTTACTTCGTAATCTTAGTCCCTGTTTTTCTTTCCGTATTTATTTGTACAAGATTATAAATAATGACGTGAACTATTTTAAAAATCTAACCGAGAGACTTCGACGCCAAACTTGGTATTTTCTAAAATCCTCTACGGCAATAATCTCCAAAACAGATTATGGTATCGAGATTGTGTTACAACATCCGTGTTATATCATAAAACTAGAATACTTTTTTCCAAGAAAAATTTTGAAAACTTTTAATTTCAGAAATTTACAAGATATTCGAGATAAATATTACACCGATAAATAAATTAATGTACAAGTTACAATATTGTGTTTGGTGAAAAGAATAGTGGTCAAGCTTATGTTCATTTTTAGACCACTACAAAATTCGGAATTCAAAATAAGACCTGAGAAAAATTTGACTTATGCAGATTTATTTATTTACTTGTTTATTTTGTGTCTTTTTTTCAAGTGCCAGTAATAAATATCAGTTAACTACAGATTGTAAGTAACTGAATTAAATTATTTGAAACCCAGTAATGATTTTAGATTTGAGTGCATTTAAGATACATCGTAAAACTGCAAATTTGCCAGATTTCGTTAAACTATTTGCTGGAAAGTTATAGAAATTTTCCCAAAGCAAATCGGAATATGTTTACATACTATATAAATATTTTGCTAGATTATTTCGTACGCAGATTTTTCGCATAGAGTAGAGTATTATCCAAAAGAATTACTAGCAAAAAATGTAGCACATATCCACCGTACTTTTTGCAAAAATTGAGTACAAACTTGTACAAAATAAATAGTAGCCACGTTTTCTGTTACAAAATCTTGTAAATATTTGCTATGTATTTTATTTTTCGGACTTTGCAAAATATTAGCGTTCATTGAGTAAATGTGACGCCAAGAAGTAATTTAGTGGAGAAACTTATATACGGTTGGTTTACAACAGATCAAAATAAGATCCAAAGAACAAGTTAAAAATTTTGAAGTACATATTAGAGTAATACTTAAACTCTGAAAAGTTTAGAGAAATACATAAAATCTGTAATAAAATACAAGAATGAATTGATTCTGTACTAATTTTTAAATCAATGTTCAAATTTCAAAATCCAAAATTATTCAATGGTTTCAAACAGTTTAAGAAAATACATTTTGTTGGGGTTTGTCTTTTAAAATTGGAATTTTCATGTGTTCTTATAGACAACAAATTTTGATCAATCGAAGACGCTAATGGAATATCTAATATTTACATTTACATGTGAATTAATTTATCGCCGTTCAACTTACCGTTTTCATTTAACAGACTAAAATCCGAAAACGTACACTGTTAGAAATCTGGTATAGTCAGGCGGGTATTGATTTCTCGGTATTAAAATTGCTACCCCTTAGTACTCTAGTTATACCCGTCCGTAAAAATTTGCTAATGAAATGATAAAACTTTAAAACCAAGCTACTTACTAAAAGTTTACTCAGTTTACAAAATATGGCTTAAACTAGACAATGGGAAACTTGAAACCCTATTTTCTAACATTGTCGCCACCAGAATTATTCTCAAATAATATCTTTTCGCAATTTTAGTAATTGTTCGTGGAAAATAAACTATTATACGCGCAGAACTATCCTGGGCCGTAGCGACGATTCGTCCGGCCTGGATAGTTTGGCCGTGGTACGGCCTAATATGCGCCAAAACATTACTGAATCCCTGATCTTATCTAGTGTATTCTCTTGCTGGTACTTCCCCTCGAGCCGTTCGGCCTGGAGAGCGTCTCTCCAGGGTCTAACAATGCGATGGTATGAAGTGGAACCTTCCGATTTGGTTGAAATTTTAAAATTATATTGTCCAAGGCAATACGGCCAACGTTTCTTGAGGCAGCTTGTGCGATGGTTGGAATCTGCCAAAATGTTTGAGGTCAAAGATCTTCGCAAAATTGCTAAATTAGTTACGATGCAAAAGAAGACGTTGTCGTGAGTAAGCCCAATGTTCGAAATCTGGTAATAGTCAAGCAGGTATTGATTTCTAGGTATTAAAATTATACTGGACCGTAAAAATTAGCTACCAATATGGTAAAACTTTACTACCGAATGTGCGAAACGAATGACTAAGATTATGCAAATATGAATTAAGCGAAATTGTTGTTTTGCCTTATTTGAAATTGGACAAATTCCCTTTATGTGATATGGGTATTATGCAAAATAAATTATGTAAATCAACCGGAGGCCTTTGGATATATTGCAGTACAAACTTTAAAAAAACTTTTTTTTAACTTTTCAAACTTTGTGCTGCGTGAGAAACAGACAGAAAATAAAGCAAAAAAGGGTTTCAACCCAAATTTTTTAATCTAAAATTATGCATCAGTTTCAAATAATTCAAAAAGAGACGTTCTTCTTTTAGACAAAAATTTGCATTTCCATGTGTGCTGATCAGAAGAAAATTATGAGTGAGGTAGACATCATCTAATTACGTTGTGTAGCAATATGCTTACACATTAATTAATTTATCGCCGTTAAACTTGATCATTACCGACTAAAACTCGGAAACTTTCAAATATTTCGATACCTTTAAAACGTTTATGTGCAATTCAATTTTTTATGTATGATATTTTATAATTATTTACCTATGTAAGATGTTTTATATTTATTGTAATTTTATATTTTATTATATTCGGAAACATTCATTAATTTTACAAAATAGAAATATCTAGCTCCTTGCGCTTAAAAATTTTGAAAAGTTTGTTAACCATTTTGACAATTTTTAAAGTAAGAAGAAAGAAAATTTTGTAAATAAGTGATCGTACATTTATCAATATGAATTACAATTTTTGGAAAAATATTAAATTGCATTATCATACGCCGATTTTGATAATTTTGAAAATTAATATATCAATATTTAAGTAAAGATCTACAATTGATGCATTTTTCGATGAAAAATATTCCAATTTGCACATTTAAAACCATAAAATCCGTGTAGTTTTATTTTCTAGTTATAAAATAAAACTACTATGTAAGTACTTTTCCTTACCAAAGTTTTGAAATAATTTAATTTTCAAGAATTTATAAAATATTCGAGTTCTAAGTGTCACCATAGATCGGAGTACTCCGGGCTTGGAGTACGCAGCTTTTTCTGGAGGCCGGAGTACGCGGAGGCCGGAGTACGCATGGACGGCCGGAGGCCGGAGTACGCGGAGGCCGGAGTACGCAAAATATCCGATCTATGAGTGTCACGCCGATAGATAGATAAATGTAAAGGTTTACTGTGTGTGATTGCGTGGGTTTTAGATTTACTCTGAAATTCTAATTTTAAAATAATGTCGTTAAAAAATTTGTTCTTTAACTTTTCGTCAAGTCTTTCATTTTAATTGTTGGAAAATTTGTGGATTTAATTAAGTATTTAGTGGTTACATAAATTGAATGATAGTGAATGAAAATACATTTCCCTTCCTTTGAATGAAAAT